TTATCAAAGTGATAAAATCATTCATTGTGTGATTGTGTTTTGTTTTATAGAGTTTTTTGTCATTAAAAGAATTATTTATTGAATAAACAATCGTTTTTCTTTTCGAAGACAATAGCAAATTTTTAATGTAGAAGTAGTTTGAATAAGAAAAAGCAACATTTTACAGTATATTTCATTCTACTACTCATGATGATAAATTATGCGTGAAGAATTTTGATGAGCGATAAGTAAACTAACTAACTAACTATAACATTGAAAGTAGTAGATTTGATCAACAAGATGTGATTATGCATAATTGAATTGGAATGCTGAATACAGTTAGATTGATTGTAGAATATGATGATAATGATAATAATAATAATAATCATGATTGCAGTGATACGATTCTTTTTCAATAGTGTATAATCCTTTATAAATAATATTGACTTATGGGGTGGTTTCAAATGAATTAACTACTCTGAGTGATGTGAATGGGATTGTTCGTAGGTTACTAGTTAGTATTCGATCATAGATGTTTAAGAAGCATATATCGTGGGACAACCGAGTAAGCAATGCTGTCGTTAGGAAACGGGTGGTAGGTAAGGATGGCAAATCAATTGATGAGGTGGTGAAACTTCATCAGTTGAGGTGGTTGGGATATGTGTTACGTATGGCTAACCATCGACTGCCTCGACGAGCTATGTTTTGTGGTGTAAGAGTAGATTGGAAGAAAGTTAGGGGCGGCCAAACCAAAACATGGCAGTAATCCATGATTTCACTGAAAAGTGGACTGAGTCATGTTGGTAGATGTAGACTACCTGGTTGGGGTCCGCGAGACGAAAGTCATCAATGGTTAGAGACCTTGAACGACATGACTCAAAATCGTTTTCAATGGCGCAAGTGCATCCATTCGTTGATTTTTCGCAAATCTTAATCTTCTGGAATCGTCAGCACCTCTACCTTTGGCTTTCTAACCTTATCTCACTGAATTATACTTCTTGAATAATATCTTCAAACCCTAGCCTTCTTCATTACCAATAATACCTCTACTATCTTTATCACTATGGGATTCGATTTGACATTTGAGTCTCTGTGCTAATGTAGTATGGCAACATGAACTTATTTACATACATACGAAGTTCTACGTTGCAACTGACTGACTGACTGAATGGGATTGTGAATGAAATTAAAAGCAGACTTGGAGGAAGTCGTTTGTCCTAGTAAACAAGTCTATGATATCTGCAATAGCTAAACTTAGAATCATTGAGCTACCTAGTTAACAGTTTATCATTATGACTTACTTATGCCTGTTACCCACTAAGGGAGCGCAGGCCATCGACCAACATTCTTCAAGCAATAAACAATTAGTTACATCTAATTACAGAATATTTGGATTTCTTTTGATAGATAAACTGATTTTATTTGTTTGAATGTTACCATTAAGATGTTATTATTCAGAGAATCACACTCCTAACACCAGTCAATTTACAAATACCATTGTAGAGAGTCGACTTACTGCGTGTTCTTAAGCTCGATAATTAGCTCGTCTAGACAATCGTTACAAAGTAGCGTCTGACGGTTTATAAATCAGAAGGTGAACTCGTAGTGTGTTGAATACGTTTATTTGGGACACACCACAAAGTGAAGCGAAGAAGCAGTGAATAAGAGGGATGAAGCGATGTGAATTGGAGAAGGCAGTTGAGCCAACTCCAAGAGATAGAGCTTGGCTAAGAATATGTAGTCAGACAAATATAAGACAGAAATGTGATCAACGAGATAGGCATGAACACACATGAATAAAAGTGACGAATGGTTGACTAGGTCAAATTACAAGTGGCACACGTCATGTGAGCTCATACAAACCAGACAATAATAAGAAGGAATGGTACATATAAATTGTTGCAATACAAATGGCTTGGTTAAATAAATTAATCGAAAGGGCTTAACTAAATTAAATGTAAGCGAACTGGAATATATGTGGAGGCATTACACCATCCTCTAAGTTATACATAAATCTTGATAGAATCCCATGATCGAAATTGTATTCATTTAGTTTTCCTTCATGACTCAACACTAACGTATGTGATTTACAACAACGAAATACTATTGAATTTTGTGATCGATCATTGTTAGATCACCATTGAACACTGAAAAGCATTAGACGGCCGTTTTGTTCGAGTATGGGACTTATCAGTAATGTGCATCTACAACATTTCAAATAAAAAAGGAACCCAGGACCTTCGGTCTGGCTCACGAATGCTTATCATCTAAGACCACTAAACAGGCATCCAAAAGCTGTTATTGTCCAACTGTGGTCAATCCAAGGCATTGCATAACCCGACCGATTGTCTTAAGGTAGGCCGGATACAGCTGAATTTTCTTGGTCAAGGTTTCACAACTGCATAATTAAAAACCGAAACAATACTCATATTATTGTTATACAGTTTCACAATGATTATAAAATAATTTTAGATAACTGGAAGAGAAAGGATTATGGTAATCAAAGTAATTATTTGAAACAAATCAGTTAGACTTGTTCTGTATTATACAATATCTATAAAATAGAATTTATCAAATAATTTACCAAAATGTCATTGTTTTTGTTTTTAGTAGTTATGTAAGAACTAAAAGATAAAAAATATCAAGATTGCGTAAAAAATACAAAAATTTGAAAGGAATTCGAAAATTATTTGGGTATTTTTTTTTAAAAAAAACTAATGAGTTTAATCGTAGTCTAGCTTAAACTACACTTTTATGCATATGGCTAAGGTAGCGAGAATGATTGTATAAAGTTATAGACTTCTATCTGAAGTTTGTGCTGATGATGTTGTTCAGAAGAACATCGAAAGCTACACAACCAAAACAACCAGCTCAGAGAATGAAACACCACCACAATCATCCACCTGAGCTACAAGTTTTCTCCACCATCTAGAGAATAGAACTCTAGATCACTTTTACTTGTCCTTTACTTAACTAAGGATGAATGATGTTCTGTTATACGATAACGAACTTGTTGAATTGTACACCCTATTATATAACTGACATTACAGGAGCAATGGAATTCATAAATATACAGACAGTCTGCCACTTTTGATGTGGTTTTCATTATCAGATGATTGCAGGAAACCACCACTATTCCGGCTGAGGTGAATATTTTCTGCATCGACTTTCTGAACCTTGAAGTTAGTTATAACTTCATTTAGAAACTGTTATTTTAAGGAAATTACTTTCTTCGGGATCGTAATTGACTTCGGTCTTCTGTTCATTTCATTCATGTGGTTATTCATAAATTACACTGGATATAATCACTAGTAACTAGTTTCATGAGGAATTTCTCTGGGTTTTAGTGAGAAGCCAGACCGGTAGAGTTCATCCCTATCGAGTATGAGGCAGTTATCCATCTAAGACAATGGATGAGGTTGTGCAGTATAATGGGTTGATTGGAGTTATACATGAACGTATTTGGATACCGGCTCAGTGGTCAGCAGGTTAAGCGTTGGCATGTGAGAATACAAACCAAGGGTTTGTTTCCCATTGACGGGGTGGTAGATACAATCTGCTCGAATGGGAGGTCGTTCAGTGCCTTTCAGTTTCGATTGGTCGTCGAACAGTAATCAGTTAATGCTTTTAACGAAGCTCGACAATCTTCACAACCCTAAACTGATAACGTAAAATAGACTGTAGTATGGACTTCTAGAAATACATAACTATAGCTTGACCTCGACTAAAAAACTATGTTACTTTTTAAGATAAAAGTCAGTTGTGCATTCCATAAGCCTTTATTGTTTGCAATTACTGAGACATATGTGTTACACATTCCTAATTATCATTTACTGATATTCACAGAGCTAATTATCATAAGGACAGGAGGGGAGGAAACTATGTATTAACCAAATAAAGTCAAGACTTTAGTTTTATTGGAGTTACTAACTGTTAATATGATACTGAATCGTATGCATTAGATCTTTGGTTGTTGCATACTTTATAGTAGTAATCTATTGTTCAAGATAACTATTGGCATGATCTAAACTCATCCACAATGGCAATGATTTAATTCACTGATATGCTCGCCAATTGATATGCTTGAAACTATTACGAGTTCACCTTACTCGGTAAACGCAACGAAGATCAACGATGCAGTGACACGATAGGCTATTCTAATCCGATTGTCCTAAGCCCCGCTAACTATAGCAAGAAGTCTTGATAAGGCGTTGAGAATGTAATCTATAGGCTCCCAGAAAGGTAGAGGTTGTTAAGCACTCAACTGAAGCTTATTTATACAATGATAAAATGCCCATTCATGAGAACCACAAAAATAGCGTACTAAAATAATCCACCAACCAATGACTGTCAAGGATTTTCCGAGTGGGAAATGTAATCTCAAGGTCAACTAGGCGACTTATGCACTAAAACATAAAAAATCAAGATTAAAACCTTTTCCAAGTGAGTTCTGGGGATTTAACGTCCCCAACAATCACCATTTATCTCCGTTGGATTTTGGAGCATGGTGTATAATTATACTTTTCATTCTCTGGCTTCATTTTTCTACTCTCCTAGGTTTTACATTGTCTACCACTGATTGACTTAGTTGGCCACTTGTGTCGACAAGCTAATATCCAGTCAGTTACTGTTTTAAAATTGATTCCATCAAGAAAATTTACAGTTTGACCCTCTCATTCACTGTTCTATGTTTGTGTTAAATGAGTTCTCTCGATGTAATATTGGGTGAGTTAATTGGTACCAATAAAAGGATATATTTGTCGACACAAACATCAATATAGCCATGAGAAGTGATTACTAGTGATGTTCTGAAAAGAATCCTACACTTGAACATCAGTTTTTGAAAATTACCAAGTGAAACCAGATTGTCACAGCTAGTCAAACAATCAAACTAGAAAGAAATTTTGCGAAGTCCAGATCGTCCAGCCGCATCCTAGATGTCCATTGGATACTGTGCTTTCCTCCAGCTGTTGACGTCTTCATAATCCAGTCGATCACCAGGAAAAAGAGAAAGGGTGAGAGTAAGAAACCTTGCCTGACACCGGTCTTAACCTCAAACGAGTTTGTCAGCTGACATCCGTGCACGATTTTGCAGTTTAATCAATAATAAGGATTCCGTATGATGTTGACTATTTTCTCAGTTTAGCGTTTTTCTTGCAAGTTAGTTTTTTGGTGTGATGGGGTCGCCAACCCCATGCCCAACCCTCCTTCTTCATCCGGGCTTGGGACCGGCAGTAGCCCCGAAGGTTCTACTGGCGGAGTTCTGATCAAACTCATTATTCACACATAAATTTTCTAAAACTTATTGAATTACTTTCAAGTTGTGGTATTATCGTTCATCAGCTAATACATAATACAAATTGATAAGATTTGATTATTTTGGATACGAAGTTGTAAACATTTGAACAGCCATAATTATTTTCAATGTACAATTTCCCTCATCCTACGAATCATTCATTTATTGCCTTTAATAAAATTGACTTTTTTTTTTATCTTATTCGCTTTTGAATATCGGGATTTTTCTTTAAAGCCATTTTTTTTCCAAGGGAATCGTTATTAATCCTAATCACTAAAACAATTGTTTGGGGTAATAAATAAGTCTATTATTTATCCTTGAACTCATTTCCAGTCAAACAAAAAATCGGGAAGACCGTGTGTGATGATGAGTCACAATCTAGGATGACACGAAACATATTACATTTTGTTGAGTTACCTAATTCTAAACCTAATCGATACAGTTGGATTATAAAAATGTAATTTTGTTCAGAAGGAAAGGGGAGTATTAATAATAGTCAATGCAAGTATCTTTGATGCATGAAACATCGGACGTCTACCAACCAGAATAGCCTGGCAGTAACAGGAAACAATTTGATACAAGGATGACGTCTGCATAAATCCTAACAGGATGCACAAATACATTCAAAGTTCAATTGTTTCTCTACCAGTCTCCTACCACAGAATCATCAAATTTTTATCCGCCTAATTACAAAGAAAACGTAGTTTAAACAAAGTCAACCTAAATAAACGCAAACGGATGTTATTAAAAAACATTTTCACATGTGTCTCTGTGTGTGTGTGTACATGTGTGTATGCGCTGCTGATATGGCGGGAACAAAAAAAATTCAAAAACTATGCACAAAAAAAGGTAGATCAGTAAAAGTTTTATTTGCATTGATAAATGATGATTATGTACAATAGGGGACAGTCTTGTTCCGTTTTGTTATTTTTTGAAAAAAAAAATAGAATAATGAAGAAATAGTTGGTTTGTTGAGAGTTTTAAATATATATGTATATATATACGTAGAATACTAGCGTGAGTAGCGTTCAGTTTAAAACAAAAAGTTCGTCCATTCAAGAATCAATGTTCTTCATTCAATATTCATTATATATCATTAAGAATTCAATGCTAACCAAACTAGTAGTAGTAGTAATAATAATAATAATAATAATTTATTCATCAGAACAAGTTAAAAGAGTTTTTTCTGTGATAGTAAGAACAAGCAGTTGTTGTTACATAAAGAAAAAAAACAAAGTAACACAAATGCTCTCTCTGTTGAAAAGGAAATCACTAATAATAAGATGAGGAAAGTATTATTTATTACAAGTAGAATTTGCGTGAAAAGAAAAGACACATTATTATTATTAAGTAGGCAGTTTTAAAAAATGATTCACTGGATTTTGATTAGAAGAAGAGGAAGAAGAAGAAGGTGAAGACACATCCGTCGGTCTCGATTCCCGCTGTATATATATCGATGTGGTTATGTAGTTGATAGAATCTGTTGAAGAAAACTACTTATTTTCAGCATCGACTAAGTCAGGGGAGAAATCAAAGAAACCCCCGTAGAAATGCTCAATTAAAAACACAAAGAAGATCAAGTAAGCGAAAAATTAGAGAAAAAAAAGAAGAATAATGATCTTTTCTTCTGGTCAAAACCCTTTTCAAAAACAATGATGTTACACACCGTTCTCAATGTCCTTAGATGTATTTATACGTCAATTGTGTGTGTGTGAGAGAGAGGGAGACAGAAAGCTGAGCGGAAAGAAACCACGCAAAGTTACTGAAGTCATTTCGGATTTTCGTTTAAAATGAAAATAAGTGAGCAAGCGCTAATCGGCAGTTTTATTGGAATTAATCACATGGTCCCAATTCGCACTGCACGCACAGAGGAGGAGGAGGAGGAGAAAACGAAACCCGAAGTTGATCGTTGAGAAGTAGTATCGAGAAAAATAACAACAGAATTCAATAATTTTCATTGTATGTGTTATAAGAATAATAATAAACAACCTCAGCAGTATGAATAATCATCGTTGTAGTAGTGTGAGTAGTAGTAGTAGTAGCAGTAGTAATGTTGTATAACTCATATTCACAAAAGTAGATTTAAGGGAAAATAAAATGAAATGACTTTTATTCAATTTTACAAACCAACTTTTGTTCCATTCATCAGTGTCTGTCCATTGCAAAATTAAGACCGGATTGATATGTGGTCGTCATCTTTTTTTTCGAAAGATGTAACAATCAACAAAACATCACACTTGACTGCACACAACTACACACACACACACACAATGAGGAGTCGATTTTAAAAGAAAAACAAGACAAAATCTGACAAGAGAATAATAATCAGTGAAAAACAAAATCAAAACATAAAACAAAGTAAAGAATAAAAAGTCAAAAGTCAAAATATATCATTTGTTTGTTTTCTTCATTCTGATTCACTAAATAGACTAGAACGATTCACTAAACAACCTGTGGACATTGTTGGCAATGTGGCTTGATTGATTTCCAGCGTTCTAGGCACATCATAAACATGACTACCTGTCATAGAATAAGGTGATCCAGGCGCTACAAGCCAATTAGCTAGATGTGGTTGATTGTTTGATAGAAATGGTGATAGCATACCAACAGATGAATTATTCATATGATTATTATTATTATCAGTAGTATTATTAGTAGTAGTACTGTTTAAAAGATTTCTTAATTTATTCTGTTGAATTAATGGAGTTGAAGTCAGTAGAGCTAAACTTTGTTGTAGATCATCAGTACCGGAAATAGACGATGAAGCTGGTTGATTCGTCGACGATAACGATGAGGATGCTGTTGTTGCCGCAGCTGCTGCCGCTGATAATAACTGCGGTGAAGGTAATCTTGGCGGTCCTGGCAAATAATTCCCAGTACAAGTCACTGTTAAATATGGATTGACAAGATTTGGATATTGATTTAGTTGGGATGAGAAATTATTATTACCTGTATTAGTATTACCAGCAATAGTACTACTATTATTATTATTATAAGTAGTATGATTAGTATGATTATGTAAAGTTGATAAAAACATTTGTGAATAAGGATTAGAATGTGTTCGCATTAAATTATATTCATTCTCATTGATTACACCGGAAGATAATATTCCATTTACTTTTAATGATGTATTATTATTATTATTATTACGATTCTCATCTTGTTCAATAAAATTTGATTTTGTTTGAATTAATTTCCCTGAATTATATTCAATTTTTGAATGATTATGATGACCACTACTATTATTATTGTGATTCAGATCAAGTGAATTACAACTTGATGATAAACCAAACAATGTATGTTGTCTGCATAGATTTAAACATTTTGCACCAATTAATAAAAATATCAAAGTAGTTAAAAATGTACAAATAACAGCAATTGCCATTTCTAATAAAGTAAATTGTTTTTGATATAAATAATTTGTTTGTTCATAGAGAATTTCATTCCGTATTAATAAGTCATCCGGTTGTGGTTGTTGTTGTTTCGTGTGATGCTGATAATTACGATCATTCATTGAACTTTGAACGGGTTCATGTTCAATTGTCAATGTATTATTATTATTAGTTAATTTTGGTGAATGAAATAGATTTGGTCCTTTTAATGTTACCACCACTTCCTCGGTTTCCTTCTTATCATCCCATGTTGTACATGTGTATTTATGTGGTTTTATGCCTAATGATACATTCAATTGAACTGTTGATGTTAAATGTTCAATAGTAGTAGTTGAATCGGTTTGATGATATAAATCATCATTGATTGGAGAATGATTGTTTAAATCACTTTTATCATTGGTAGTGATTAAACGTTTCACTTCACGTAACTGTCCATCTTCAATGTAACGCCATGCTACACCTGGTGGTGTATGACTTAATATTCCTGCACTAGCAGTAATCATATTTTTATGATGTATATAATTACTGGATCGTTTTGGTACAGTCACTGCGGTACATGAAATCAATGCACGACTTGCATCATCTAATATATTAATAAATATTTGTTGGATACGTGATGTTGGACATAATTGATCAGCAGTTAATTTCACTAATTCATATATATACATTGTTTTTTTCATGGAATTCTCTGCTCTACTCCAATAAATACAAGTCATATTCAAACCGGGTAAACTATCTTTCCAATCCATACTTCGTTGAGCAATCCATGCCAGCTGACAATTACATTCTAATGGATTCCCGGTTAAATCAAGCAAACGATTAGGATGATTAAAATATCGTTCAAATCCATTATCAATATGTATAATACGATTGTCCGATAGAATTAAACGATCTAAACTTGGCACTTTACTAAATAATTCATAACTGATTGATTGAATACGATTACCGCGTAAATTGATTTGCATTGCTGACAAGCCATGAAATGCATCATCACTAATGAACATACCTTGTTCAGGCAAAGAATGTTGTTCACGTAAATATAAATTATGCAATTGTAACCCGTAAAATGTATACGACTCAAGTCTGATCAATGAATTATACGATAAATCTAAATGTTTCAATGCAACCATCTTGATAAATGTTCGAGATTCAATAATTTGTAAATTACAATAAATAATACGTAAATATTCCAATTGTTCTAATCCAGTCATATTGGCTTCATTTAAATAATTCGGTGTAGGGAAATTACTATGTTGAATGAATAATTTTGTTACACCATTGGGTATATTAGTTGGTACACCTTGTAAATGATCTTGTCTATCACAATGGACGACATTTTCATCTTTTGGACAATGACATCGTGTATCGCATAGACCTGGTTGAATATATTGAGCATTGAACGGGGGTAGGATGTTTAAAATTACATAGCAGCACGTGATGATGAGGATAGTGGGCATTTTAAAATGCATTGATTGAAGCATTTTTGATCAATTGTTGTTAAATTCTTCGTGTTTTAATTTTTTTTCTATACATTTGATGCAAAAAGAAATATTCTGAAAGTGAATAGAAAATGAAATACTGTTACATTTTTTATTGTGAATATTTCAAGTGTACGTTAACAATGAACAGCGATAAATTAATGAAGTTTTAAATGGTAACAAATAACGTAGAAACCTTTTCAGTGATAAGTCTATTTCGAGATGATAACTATTGGTATTCGCGAGATTACCAAGTTAAGGTCACGATAGATCCAAAAGTCAGAAAGAAGACAGTTGTGGGGGTGTTTCGTTCTCTGAGCTGGTTGTTTTGGTTGTGGAGCTTTCATTGTTCTTCTGAACAACATCATCAGCACAAACTTCAGATAGAAGTGAAGCATTCGAATTTTTCCACGTTTGACCTGAAGCTTGTGGAGAAATTTGAATGCTTCACTTCTTCTATCTGAAGTTTGTGCTGATGATGTTGTTCAGAAGAACAATGAAAGCTCCACAACCAAAACAACCAGCTCAGAGAACGAAACACCACCACAATCATCCACCTGAGCTACAAGTTTTCTCCACCATCTCAAAGAAGACAGTATCTGGATTAAGAGGTATATTTGTTCGTAGTCTTGTGATAACGAAATAATATCAAGACTGGCTAACAACCAGCGAGGAGAGAAGTGGAATGGGAACGATACGCTTGGCGCGTGAGTTATGGTCTTTAGTACAGTTAGACAAAAGGAGTACAATAGAACAATTGTTGTTAGAATTAAGTAAAATAATAATTGTTTCCAGTTCCAACACTACAACTTGAGCATAAGAGAAAAGGCGTGAAGTTCGAGGTGAACACTTAACACAAAGATTAGTTTATATACTGTTGGGGATGTTTTATCCCCGGAACTCTCTTGATATATGCCTTAATTTGGATTTCACGTTGACCTTGAGATTTCATTTCCCACCAGGAAAATCCATGGCTGTGATTGGCTGCTGTGTATTTTAGTGTTCTATTTTCGTAACTGTCTCAAGGACGTTTCTATGATGTATAAATAAACGAGAGTTGTGTGCTTAATTGCATTGTGCTTGTTGGCTGGGTGTTTGTGGAATATACTTTCTAGGCTATATCAAGACTTCTCTTTAGCCGTTTCAGATCAAGGTAGCCTACCTGGACGCTGGTAATTGTCTCGTTCGCGTTTATCGACTAAGGTGAACTCGTAATAGCTTCAAGCATACTTAGTGACGAACATAACATATACAGAAAAAGGAGCGTATTGTTAAAGTGTGTATTTGAATATCACATCAGAATTGTGGTATGTAATTCTGTATTCGTCGACGGTTCTGTTCAATGCCGATTGGATGAAACATTTCCTAGTTTATTTTGGGCTCTTTTGGGACTTTCCAAACAAACGATTTGAATTTAACAAACAGAGATAAAACAGTTAATTGAAATTCCTTAGCAGTAGAGGCAGTGGATATATTAGTAGTAATTGGTTGAAAACTGGGATTCAAAGGAATTATTCCAGAAGTGTAATCAAGTAAATAATTTTAAAAGGAGAAATGTGATTAGGAATTCAGAAGATTGGAATTTGAGGGAAGACAAAGAATGAATGCATTAGCGCCATGGCAAATGATTTTCAGTCATGTCATTCAAAGTCTCTAACCATCGGTTACTAGTGTCTCGCGGACGCCAACCAGATTGTAACCAGATAGTCCACATCTACTAACATGGTTTAGTCCAGTTGTCAATGACTTCATCGATTTGTGTGTCATGTTTTCGTTTGACCAGCCTTAGCTTTCTTTCAGCCTACTCCCTACCTACATCAGATAACATTACTCATCAAGGCAATCTGTGTGGTTGGGCATGAATAATACATGTCTCCTAATCACCTCAACTGATGGTTGGGACATGAGTTGAATATTAACTTTGCAATAGTGAAAAGTACTCAATGAGAATTATTTAACATTATTATTCAGAAAAAAGAAGGAAACTACTGAATAATTAATATAAGTAGAATTATTTTCATGGAAAAAATATATACATATTATTGATTAGTAATGAATCAACCTACGATACCAATGATATGACAATGAAAAAAAACAACGATAATCACATTGATAATCATAATGACAACACACACACACAACAAAAAGAAGCCTATCCAAAATAGAAATTTAACTGTACTCACACTACAAAATGGAGACATAGATAGATGGTAGAGAGATAAAAAGAATCTACGCTAATCATAGTTTTAGTCGGCTTCTATGCGTAATTACTTACACTTTACACTTGTTCATGTACCACGTGTGTTGTGGTGTGTATGTGTATCTCTTTGTGTCTCATAGAAAATGTGGGCGTGTACGTTATACACTAACTAACTAGCCTGTTGTATGCTTTCTATAGAAATGCCCCTAAACAATGAGCCTATATATATATAAGTCAATCTGTCAATCATATACACATAGATATAATAAGTAGATAGATTATAAGTAGTATAGCAAATAAGATGAGAAATTTTGATAACAACATGTGCATTGATTGATTCTATTTGAATGAATAAATAACAAAAAAATTTTTTGTACTTAAAAATTCTATTCTGTTTATTCTTTTGTTCTTTCTAACGGTTCATTCACTCAGTGCATAAGTGAAATTACAAAGTATTAACGACCGAAATAGGAATTTACTGTGAAATTATGAATCGATCAATGTTAGAACACCAAATGCTATAAACTTGGAAGCCGTGGACAATCGTTTCGTCCTGGTATGAGACTACTCATCAGCAGTGCGCACCTGCGACTCTCGCTACTCGCAGGAGTCGAACCCAGGACCTGCAGTCTTGAGAGCGAACTCATAACCTATGAACCATTGAGCCGACATCCAACGATGTTCATGTCTAACTTCGATCAGTTCACATGGTTTTGGCAAAAATGGCAAACTAAAAAAACTACTTTATAGAAGAAGCTCCTATGGTTTGTGGAGCATTAAACTAAGAAGAAAAACTTTTCCCTACACAAAAATGATCTGTGTGCATGTGTATAAAAAAATAATTTTTTGATAAAAATCACACAACATTGGAACTGACATGTATAGATCGTTGTGTTCATTACAATGTTAAGCATTTTATTTAATTGAAAAAGTAACTTGCGTTAGTTTAAATTCAACTTTTATGATTCTTTATTTTTTTTAGGGCAGAGTTTTGGAGGTTTGCGTTTTTACACATTTGAAATCATCAATCAATCATTGTTAGACCACAATTAGAAACCTGGAAGCACTGAAAGACGGCCGTTTCGTCCTGGTATGGGACTCATCAGCAGTGCGCATATTCAGGCGTTCGCGCACAATACCGAAGGTACCGGGTTCGAATCTTGCGAGGTGCAGGAGTCGTGGATGCGCACTGCCACTGATGAATTCCATACCAGGACGAAACGCTCGTCTTTCAGTACTTCCAGGTTTCTTCTAATGGTGGTCTAACAATAATTGATTGATAATTTCAAATTCTTTATTTTATTTTTAAATGGATTTTTTATCATTGCATAATTTTAGGTGTGTTTCTTTATTGATTATTCACACTGTATGGAGAAACTTGGGAGGATGTAAAAACCTTGACATATCTGAGCAGTATGAGTGATGAGCCAGGTGGATCAGATGGCGAAGTGAAGGCACGGATCGGCAAAGCGATGGCAGTATTTCTACAATTAAAGAACATCTACAACTCAAAACAATAATCAACTAACACGGAAGTCACAATTTCCAATACAAATGTCAAGAACGTTGTACTGTACGGGGAGGAAACTTCAAGAACCACGAAAGCCATCATTCATAAAATACACAAGTTAATTATCGGTTGTCTGCGCAAGATACTGAGGATTAGTAGGTCGGACACCATCAGTAACAAACCACTGAGGGGAAGAGAACAAACTAGATTTCCAGTGGAGGAAGAAATCAGAAAGAAGCGCTGGACGTGGGTGGGACACATAAAGAGCAAATCACCCAACTACACCACGAGACAAACCCTCACTTGAAATCCTCAAGGTCAAAGGGAGAGAGGAAGATCAAAGAACATATTACTCTGAGAATTGGAGATGGATATGAGAAGGATGAACAACAATTGGACAGAATTGGAAAGGGAAGCACAGGTACAGAGTTGGTTGGAGAATACTGGTCGACGGCCTATGCACTGTTGGGGGTAACAGGCGTAAGTAAGTAAGTAAGTAAGTAAGTAAGTAAGTAAGTAAGTAAGTAAGTAAGTAAGTAAGTAAGTAAGTAAGTAAGTAAGTAAATAGGTTTTCAGTAATAAGTTTCATTGACTTCAAAAAAAATTATATTCATTAATAATGTTTCTTTAATTTTCAGTCAAATTGATTGTATTGTGGATCATTAAGGTGAATTTCTGTTTATGAAATTTTCTAAAGATCTAATCAGAGACTAAGGTGAAAACCTATGCATGTAAACAACATTACCTATAATATTTTGATTGATAATTTCGAAGATTAATCCTACATGAGGTCACATTTGTGTACACTTCTACTCGATATACGCCAATGCGTAATGCTTCCCGCCTACGCCGAGGTCAGTTCGTGATAAAATGTAATTTGTTCTTTTCAAAAATGTTATCAATAATACTAATCATTGATTTGCATAAAAGCTAAACAGCCAGTATTTATACATACTAATATTGGTATTTATTAACTAACTTAGAAAGGTCAAATTAATACATTTGAAGTATTATGGTATTATGGAGATCGTTGTTTTTACCTTGAAATCATGAATGAATCAAATATTGTTAGACCACCATTCAAAACCTGAAAGCACTGAAGGACGGCCGTTTCTTCCTAATACGGGACTCATCAGTCATAGGTGAGGTTGAGCAAAAATCCGTGGATCGATCAGTGTTAGACATTAGCACCATAGGATGCGCCGACCCAGTGCTTCAAAGGTTAGGTGTTCACGCGCAAAACTGAATGTCCTGGGTTCGAATCCTGCAAGTGGCAGAAGTCGTGGATGCTCATTGTTGATGTGTTCGATACCAAAACGAAATAACCAACTTTCTGTGCTTCCAGGTCATCTAATAATGGCCTAA